AGCAAAATGTGCAAATTGGCTACGTAGTTCAATGTCCACAGAGGGCGTATCGCATTCGCGTATCACGAAAAACGGGGCCGTGACATCTCTCAGGCTTCTCTCTGATAGTATAATGGTTCGCACACATTCATATAAATTGAATATTTGCATACATATTACATTAATGTTTTATTCACTTGTATACAAAAAAATTATCACGCTATTGAAGAAATGGTAGATTAATTTTGCTTACATATATTTCTCTCCTATTTATCATATACAATCTTAGTCGTAGTTTTTTAATTCTATGACATCTCGATACATATATATTAATTAAAGCCAAATCTCTCACTTTAAAATGAAAAAAGGCACCCGTGTTACAACATTACTGCATTTTCTGACCGTTTGCATCCCTGAGTTACATCGAGTTACATCCCGGCCTTATGATATATATCACTTTTATATTATTTAGAAAATAAATAATTATATTATTCAATACATAGAAAAAGACTATTAATAACAGCTACTTTATGTAGACATCACATCGAAGTCGATCCTACATCAAGGCCCGTTAAAACGAGACATCGCTCTTGCAATCGTTTCATTTGTGACGTTAGACATGCGTTTTCGATGTACAGATCCTTGACCAATATATCAGCACTCGCCAATTTATCAGCCTACATAAAAATGGTTACTTCATTATTTTTATTAATTTGCCTTCTTTCCAATTTAAGCATTGCACATTTTACTTCATTACTTGATTTAATTAAACTATATATAAACCTGATCGACAGTTGTTCGAACTTGTATCTCAAGTCTTTCTTGGGCATCGCGGAGAAGGCACTGTAATTCGCACACTTCCGTCTGGTGCTGCACCATAATACCTGTAACAGCAGATTACAAGGATTAAAAATTTTGCCACACATGTACACGTACATATACGAACGAGACTTACGCTGCAACAATTTTTCAACGTACTGCCGTTGCTGTTTAATGTAACGCTGCAAGTGCCGTTTCTTGCGTTCCTGTGCGTAAAGTTTCACTTTCAAGTTTTGAAAAATGTTTCGATCTACTTGCTGCTGGCCATTACTCTGCGAGCACGTACAGCTCGCACCTTTTATTACATCGTGCATAAATTTAAATTCCGACTCGCCTTCCTTATCATCCTCTTTCATCCCCAAGGTACTTTTAACACTCGTACCTTTCGTTACTCTCGTAGGTGTATTATGACCGTCCACCTCATCGTTTCCTTTCAACAGTCTGCCAAGATTGTTGGATAATTCTGCCGAGGTATGACACATTTGATTGTTTGTGCCAAATAAATCCATATTCACCAGCATTTCGTTGGTTGATAGAATACTAGACATACTGGAAGATTTGCAATGCGACGAATCTGAGGAAATCTCCAAATCCGGTACTTGTACGTAGGAATCATTTCTAACTGGTGGCTGAATCAGTCTCAACTTTTCACGGAGATGTCCAATTTCTAGATTCCTCTCAGAGATATCGTTTTCAGTCTTTACTTTCCACTTTTCAAATTCTTCCTCGAGCTCTATATACTGAAGAAGGAAGATACAAGAATGTGTGCAAGAAGAAGAAGCAAGGAAACGTAAAACATGAAAACCTTACCTGCTGCTCCAAGTGAAACTTTTCTTCTATGGGAGACAGTCGTCCGTTACTCTTTGACTTGTCCGAAGGACTAATTAATTCCTCATACTCTGTTATCTTGTTGATAAGCTCGGCAAGTTTGTCGTCACTCATCTTTTGCTCTTGCTCAAAGAGCTGCCTCTCTTCTTCCAATTTGGCAGCCCAATAATCCTCGCATTCTTCATACTCGGCTTTTAATAGATCTAAACTTCGTTCGAGTTCTTGACAACGTTCGGCCAATTGCTTCTTCTCCGTCTCCAATAATTCAACTATGTTTCTCTCCTTGTTGACTTTGCACTGATCCACAGGATGGTCTTCTTTTCGCGGCGGATAATCTCGAAGACTCGTCGCCTTATTTGGACTTTTTGTATCTTGACTAGGAAAATTGTCCAAATCTTGGGCCGTACGTTTGGCGGCAGGTGGCTTTGGTATTTTCGAGACGACAAAATCTCGCAAGGACTCGTTAGCTCGTTCCTCACATTCCATCTCGAGTTCAGACGCTATACTCTTGCCGAAATCCCGTTGCCTTATTTGGACGAAGCTCGAGCGCAGGCCAGTGATAAATCTCGAGATGCCATCTCTCAAGGCACACTTCTCTGCCAGGCATATTGCACTGGTAGACAATAAACTTTCGAGATCTTTGACAATTGTATCCTCGAGCTTGTACTCGACCGTATTCATCGATATATTATTTGCGTCGAGCTGCCGAGCCGCTTCAAGCTGCTGCGCGACGTCGTTACGCGGTGAGTTTTCATCCTGGCCCTCGTGTAAATCCTCGTGTAAATCCTCGTGTAAATCGTACGCCAAGGACGACGGTGTCTCGTAACTCGTATCTCTGCCGTGACGTTTCAACATTTCCAATTCCGCGCAAAGCTCGTCGTTTTGGTCTCGCAAGAGAGTCACCTCGCACTGCAGCCGTTTGATACGGTCGACAAAGAAGTCGACTTGCTCCTGTTGCTTCGCCTCTATGCTTTGTATCTCATCGTGCTCCGCGTCCAACGCTTTGATCTGTGCCAACAGATCGTTGTTGGACTGCCGCAGCTTTTCAATCTGGCTGAGAAGCGTTCGATTTTCCGCCTCGAGCATTTGACCCTCCTGCAAGATATCCACGAGTTTATTTCTCATCTCGTGATTCTCCCTTTGCAGCGCCTGCAACTGATCGTCCTTGGATCTTAGAGCGGCGGCATCCATCTCCCGCTCGACACTTAGCTGATCCGACAATTCCTTGCTCATCTCGGCACAACGTTGCTCGCTCTGCCGCTGCAAATCCTTCTTCGTTTTCTCCAATTGAACGTGATACTCGTCAATCTCTTGCACCAACAAATTGGCCCGTTCATTAGCTTCCAGCATGTCGGTGCGCATCTTGTCTCTCTCCACCTTCATGTTGTCTATTATAGCAGTTAAATTGCGCTGCTCATCCTGATGGGCAATCATCATTTCTCGCAAGAAACGAATATTTCTCATTTCCAAAGTGTCGAGATCAACACTGGATCCCGATAGCGCGGCTGGCTCGGAAAGCAGCTCTCCCCCGTCCGACTTGTCCGAGATACCTCCGTTAGTCCGGTTAGTCCGCGTCGGATTTAATTCGCTGCTCGACACTCGCCTATCTAGATTCTTCCTCTCTTGAAATATTATTACAAACTCCTCCAAGTTAATTAATCCATCGCAATTGCGATCGAGGCTCTCAAAGATCGACTCGGTTATCTGCTTCGGAAGTTGCGGGATCTCCAGACAACTCGATATTAAGTGCATCATTGCGGGATCCGTGTTTTCCTTTAAATAAATCTTGATTCTCTCCCACAGGTGTGTCAGTCGGTTCTCATCCATCGCATCTCCAAGATAAATCTCCCTCGAAATCAACGTAGCGGGTAAGGCTTCGTCTTTCTCGAGAGCGCATACGTTGAAATGCTGCTTATCGGTTACTAGTCCTTGGAATTTTCTCAACAATAGTAACAAACCATCTCGGAATTCCTGAAAGGATATCGTTTCTTTATTCGCACGACGCTTGCAAATGCACAATTTCAATTCCTCGATTAGTTCGTCGAGGTGTAACTTTGTGCAAATGGTTAAGAAATTCTTCTCATCGAGCTCGTCCTCTCCTTTCGCCAAGCAGCTTTCAAATACAGCATAAAGCTGCTGCTCGTAAAGATCACCGCTGCGCTCAGCCATGCCTCATGCTTCCCACGGTAGAGTTAATTAATGCTCCATACGATACATCTGCAAAGAGTTTTATTTTGGGTGCGTTCCGTTTCACGCATGATACGCGTGATGCATCGTTTATCCTTCTTTAACATTTGGTGAATAACAAGGATAAATAATGCATCATGCGCATCATGCGTGAAACGGAACGTACCTTTTGTCAAGGCTTTAAATTACCTTACATTCTCTTATTAAACAGTAGTTTCTAATCGACACAGGTCGTCATAACCTACCAATTCTATCCAAGTTGGAGCACATATCTCGCACATGTAATCTTATTTGAATACGAGTATTGCAACAGTGAAAAGATCCCGACCGACCACGATAGAGTCGACAGAGTCTCTTTGTATCTCTTTTCGCTGTATTTCGATTCGACCGATTCCGCGGAAATGTGCACTTGTGAATAAAAGAGGTTATCTGACCAAGGGCGTCCTATTGGAACATGTGTGCGTGTATGTGAGCTCCCCCATTAGGTTGCAAGAAAAAGTTACTAGGTTAGGTTATGAGGGGGGGGGGGGAAAGATCTCGTCGAATCTCGAGAGCAAGTTATATTTCTCTTGTTGTAAGTTTTCAAAGAGCTTACAACGCTCGTTACATTCATATTGGTATTAATATGTCGACGACAAGCTGCACATCTTACATATGGCAGATATAGGCTGAATGTCGATCTGCAAGAAAGAAATGTTGACGAGGCGAGATGTAAAATTGTCATTGCTACTATTACGATACTTACTCTCGTCTCTTACAATCTATTGGATACATCACTGGCATTTTCTTTACCATTTGCAATTCGCGAGCCAAACTGGAAGGCTCTCTTAGGAAAGTTTGCCGTAGACTGAAAACCAATCTTGTAGGCTAGCAAACGCAACAGTAACTTGTCTCCCAGTCCACTTGGCATTTTCTCAGTCGGATAGCACCTAACCGATGATCGTTGGTTAGAATGACAATCGCGACGAAAATGATTATCGATTCATACCTCTCCCATGGCTTCATACGCTGCGCATACTTGACCAGATTCTCGTCCAGATACGGCAAACGGGATTGTTTGCCATGGTCGGAAACGATCCGGTCGTCCCGACCTAAATTTCTCTCGGAAATCCTGGCCAATTCGACACTTAATTCTTGTACCAGCGCGTCCCATCCTCTATGCCGCAGTATGGTTCTATGTCTCATGTATCCGCCAAACAGTTCGTCCGCACCTATGCCTAAGAGCAATATCCTGCACGGCGACTCGTATGCCTGGTTCATCGGGTAGAGAACACCTTTCGCTCGACTCGCGAACCACATGGCACACCCTAGACTCTCGTCCATGATTGTCCGTAAGGGATGCAGCAGATCGCAGATTCGCGACGCACGATACAGCTGCAGTTCCGCTTGGCTGACATTACACTGAAATTGAAATGAGAATGAGAACTTGTTCCTTTCGTATACAAGTATAGTATAGAAGACACTGTACTTCTACAAGATTCCATTTCCTACTGGGGCAAATCCGCAACAATTCGGAATACGTTTGCCGCCCGGTCTTCCGATCCGGCACGTCATACTTTGGCGTTACATTCCCCTTTTCGAACGCGACGTTAATGAGATCGACGCTCTCGTCCTCTGGCACGTACTTGTCGGCTATCGCTGCCAAGATTGCCGAGTCTAGGCCACCGGAGAACAATACGCCAATCTTGGCGTGAGCGCAAGCAACACTCGACCCGCTTAGCACGACTCTCGTGCAGCTCTTGCAATAATTGGGTTTCTTCCTTACTCGGACTTTGACAGAGTGATGCAGCAGTTCCGTCAGACGGTCGACTCTCTCGTCTACCTCTTCATTTTCCAACAGATATCGCAATACCTCGTTATAATCTTTACCGAGCGGCGCATTTTCAAGGTATTCCACGTCTCTCGGCTGAGGATGCAGATGCAAATTCGTTGGCGTACGAGCGTCGAATATAGTCTCTTTGATGTCGATATCGACCATTAAATTTGTCTCCAATACTTCGATAATATCGGTGAACATCAAGTCTGGCTCTCTCCACGGGTAACATGCTAAATTGATTTGTGGCGTGTTTAAATTCATCGCAAAGATACCTATAGCTGGCACTTCTACAACCCCTTTCAGCTTTTTGTTGGCCACCGATGCTAAAGTCAACAAATTGTTATCCACTTTCAAGAGCAAACTGTGCCGTCCGATGACATCTCGTCCAAAGTATAACGTATTGCTTGACTTTTGATAGTATACTAAAGAATAAGGGCCTCTGATCTTGCGGAGCACAGACATAACGTCCATAGTAGATTGCAATTCAGCCGCTATGACACTTGTATCGCAAACGTCGTCTTTCGCCAAGCAACCCGAGAAAAGATCGCCGTTCCATAGTAACAAGTTTTCATTATCGTCGACACTTGGCTGCGTCGTTACCCTAGGTCCTTGCATCCACAAGACCGCGGCAGCAAAATGCCCGTGCCAGTGACGACTCAATGTCAAACGTTTCTCCATGAAATAATCAGGCCCTCGTGCAGCTATTGTATCCTTGCAAATATTCCACTGGAAGAAATGCATCTCTTTCAGTTGTTGTTGAAGCAACTATATTCTTTACGTATACCTGTCTCGTGGATTCAGAATCTTGTTCGGGTTGATGTATGGAGCAAAATATTCCACACATTGTACTGTTCAATGAAACCGATGCTAATTTGCTAATGCCGGCAGGAGTAACCTCACGGAGGTTAAGATCAGCTTGTTGACGCGGGGGTGAAGCACTGGTGGGGATTTTGTCGTCAGCCATGTTTTTGTGGGCCACTCGTAATGCCATCTATCGATATAATATATTGGTAAATGTTCCCTCCTTTACCCTCCGTGAGTAACTTTGTATAATATCAAGTTACCGGCAGTGCTTGAAATAGATCGCTGGACAAAATGGGCCGTAAGAGGCGCTGTCAAGCTGCTCTTCGTTATACAATAATAATTACTCAGGAATTGCGCTTGCCAGAGGGAAATTATGAGTGAAATTGCAGAAGCGCAAAGTGTTATTACTGAGCAGGAGCGAGAGTTGGCTCAAAATGTGCTGTCGGAATTCCAAAAGAGTTGCTACCCTTCGTGCTTGTCGTACTTGAACAAGCTGGAGAGCCTCAGGCCTACCGATCTCAAAGTTACACACAATAAAGTCGTAGTGGAGTATTATAAGAGTGACCTCAGGAAAACTGAGCTGACCCGCAAGAGCTTGAACGCTATATGCGGCCAGATATCAACGACGGATTCTCACGAGGCTATCGACGACGTCGACAAGTGTGTTATTAGATATAACCAAGCCGTTTTACTCTATCACACTAAGCAGTATAATGCTGCCCTTCAAATCATGACTAGGCTCTTTGCCTTTATCGAGCCAATGGAAGAAACTTTGGCGCACAAGGTTTCTCTGCTACTCATCGAATTGTACATAGTAACGGAGCAACCAGACACAGCTCTGTCTCTATTAAATTATGTCGAGAGCCAGTTTATATCTACCGACAATTCCAAGCTAACGTCCGTCGAGAAAGATGGAGTAATGAAATCTATCAAGGAGCAAAGAGAGCAAAAGAAAGATGCTGGCGACGCAGCGACGGATGCATTCAAGATTAAGCTCTTCAAGTATAAAGCGAGAATATTTCTTTTGACTCATCAATTGAAACTTTGTAAGAAAGAATGGAAGACGTTAGTTTCATTGGGCATAGTGGTAACGTTATTACTACGTATATATATATTTCTATTGTACAGTATACGTACGTTCCATTTCTACCTGCTTTCTTAATACTACTTTCAGAATACATCGACAATCTTGTTGAAGGCTCATCTCGAGTATTTACGAGGAAATTACGAAAAGGCAATACAATTTTTGAATTCTAAAATGAAAGAAAATTTAGATTTTAAGTATGTTACATATGTTTACTAAATCAAATACAAATGCATGAGGCAAAGCCAAAAATTTGTAAATATTCTCAATATTTGTCATACAAATTGTAACAATGTCATACAATTCCGTCTACCTTGGACATTTTTACTTTTTTTAACCTTACATTAATTCGAATCATTTCATCTCTTTTAATCCTCGTGCATAGAAATAACTTGTTTGTTCTCTTTTTTCCCAACATTATTTAAGATGATCCCAACTAGATACAATTTCAAAACACATATCCCATTGATTAATTTCATGTACGATTTATAGATTATGTGGGGAATCTTCGGCTGTTTTGTTTTATAACAATATGGCATGTCTGAATCTCGCAATGGGTAAGCCGACTCTAGCTTGTTCTTACCTTCAGACAGCTTTACGTGCAAATAAATGTGCGTTGGAGAGCATGCAAGTCAAAGACACTGGTAATTACGATAATTTTATCTTTTCAACAATCAATTTCGATTTTGTTCCTAATATTTCCAATTTACCAACTACTGTCAAAGAAAGAAAACTTGTTGAAACAGATCCGTTGTCTTCTCAACCGTTGTACACGCTCGGGGGCAATAAACACTACGAGTTGATGTATAGTTTGGGTGTATCATTGTTGTACGCTGGTAAACCGTCAAAAGCCTTTGATTGCTTCACAGAAGTAGCACAAAAGGTACACAATAATCCCAAACTCTTCCTCAGAATGGCAGAATGCTGTATCTACAGCCATAAACATGTGAGTCGCAATACTTTCAAATTATACTTTACTAGCTAATATTTGCAACTATTTGCTGCTATAATAGACTCGTTTTTAGTCGAACGAAGTTGATTTCGATATTCCAAAACGGCGTAAAGATTTGGTGCAGAAGATAATAAGTTGTGGTATTCATAAGAAAATCATACTAGCCACGTCTCTTTCGAAGGACGTTGGATATCATTCGGAAGGCCTATCCTATGCTATTCCACAACCAACGTTGGAATTTGGCTATTTGTGTCTGAAGAATGCATTACTTTTACTACCAAACAATAATGAGCTGAACGTACCTGTAACAACTATGGCGAATTCAGTCTCGCTATCGTTAACATCTGGTCACAATTTAGGTATAGATCACATCATTATATAATTTATATCATTTGCTAATACGACTACTTAACTTTTAGGTATTCAACATGTAACGCTAATGTCGCGAGCTACAGCTATCGAATCTTTCAACTTAAAAATTAGTGTCTTGGCTGCTAGCGCTTATGTCTCTTTGTGTCTTGGAGATTATATACTTTCTCTCGAACATGCAAAGGCATTGTTAAGCTTCAACAAGTTGCCGGGTGCATATAAACTACTAGGTAACTTGTATGCCGCTGAAAGTTTGATATTCATGGACAAACTTAGCGAGGCATTCGAGTACCTCAAGCTAGAAGATCTTCAAGATTTACATACATTTATATCTATGCCTGAAATTCAGGAGAAGGATAAAGAAAAGGTGGAGGAAGTCATGGTAAAGCCTGTAAAAGGTACATTTAGAAAATTATACATATATACTCTTTCGAAACATGAAAAATCGCCTTTTACTCACTTTCAAGTTTCGAAATTTTAGCGTGGTATCCTACAACAGTTTCTACAGGCACTGCTGTAATACGTTACAACTTGGCTGTGGCTTATGCCATACGAGGTGAACTAGACAAATCTGGAGAAACCTTGAAACAAGCAAGTATACTTGTATAAAAATTTATGTCTCATATAGATATACATATATAATACATAAATTATCTCTCGCGAGTACTGTTTCTATTAATTAATTCTTATTGCAGATATGGATGTCGAAAGAACCAGATTGTGATATACCTATACAAGTGATAATGTTGGCCTTGTATATAGAGCTACAATTAGGTAATATATTTGCAGTATTATAAATGTAAAATCGATTTCACTGTATTTATTCGATAAATGTAAAATTTATCTTAAACTTGAAACGGTTATAAGAATATCTTTTTTTATTTACACACGTCTGATTTGTACAATTAGTCAAAATTGGTTATTTCTTAAACTAGAAAACATTTTCACTGTAAAACTACTTTTCAAACTACACATATGCACAGTAGTAGTAGTAGCATATAATTAGGAAATGTATTTTATATTTTTTAATTCCAGGTCATGCTGACGTTTCAAAATCAATAATAAAACAACATTGTCCACAGTATCGTTAGCAATCGAGATATATGTCGATTTGGAACATATACATTTAAGTATTTTTTATTTATCGATGCGAGAATGTCAAAACTTTTATAACATCTTTCTACATGATTATATTTCTAAGAATAATGAATTGTTGAAATTATTGAAAGAGAAAGAAAAAAGAGGAGCGAGTCGCATACAAGTAACACTCTCGAGGTAGATATTAGATCGATACTAATTTTATTTTAGATAGAATCGCACTTTACGCGCATTATAATAAAATACGATGTAGTTGGTTTAGCATAAAGTAAAAATGACCTTTTCTCAATTATAAAATTAGAATTTTATCCATTACTCGTTTTCTAGGTATATCGGGGTTATCTTTCTTCTTCTAAAGAATTAAACTACGTGGCACTTTTTCATCGATAAGTCGATTCATTTCGTTAGTAATATTGTTGGGGGGGAAAAAAGGTACATTTCGTATAAAATGATATTAAATTGCTTTCCGAATGCCGCAAGTATATTTTACAAGATATTGCATATTCTCGGTAGCCTTGTCTTGCTTAATTATTGTCGAATAACTCAAGTTTAGCAAATTTTGACTACGTGACACGGGCTTTGCACTCGAGACGATTTCAAATATGATGATGAACAAACTATGTACGACCACGTTTACACGTCATTCGGTTTTATCTGGTTTTTATGATACGAAAAAAATACACATATAATTTTACAGCCGTTGACGAATATACTATATGTTTACGTATAGTGGTGCTCTATACGTTTACATGTGCGTAGTGTATATAACTTTGAAATATCGCGAGTTTGCTTTCGCTATATTTCGTTGAAGAAGAACCAAGTTGCATGCATCGTAGGTTACGATAATTCGTAAATGCAGCAAATGTGGTGAAACAGATGTAGACTTGTAAAGAATCGTGCAAGTATTGAGTTGTAATTCGAGATAAAATGTGTTTCTCTGAGAAAAGAATTCATTAAAGGTGGCGTCATCCCCCCAAACAAGTCTATGTAAATTCATTGTATGCCAATTAATCTGTCGAAAAACGTAACGTCGCTTGATATAAATGAAATGACAATGAATCCTCTGAATAAAGGAGTGTCTTTCCCCCTCAAAGCACAACTATATACGAGTGATGGTATTGATCTTCAGCCGAGATACCAAGGTTGTTTACCCTGTCTTTCAAAATAACCCGGCATGACGATGCGACCGGAGTCGAGATCGGAAAAGGCCGTGGGAGGCCGGAGTCGCTGGAGAAGCCTTAGGGGTCTGGGGCGGAATCCTTTCGTCTCGACGACTCGCAGAGTTTACTTCGTCCTTCATGGCCATATATGTGGCTGGCCGGACTTGACCTATATATTATTATGCTATTGGCGTACTACACATGCGATGCGCGTCGAATGTACCCGCAGGGCCTTATTACCGAGGTCATAAGTCTGGTTCCTGCTTGCGTCTGCCTAAAGTCACCATCGATTATGTGCGACACCAGGGTGTATCGATACGCATTTATATTCCTACGTTTCAAACTTGTGTATGTAAATTGTTATGACTAATCATTTCAATTATTTCATTTGCGTACGCGTGCGTGCGAGAGATAATGTCAATTATCTCTCGCGTATCGGAGGTACACTTGTGTGTCTTACCATTACAAATTCCCTTTCCTTCGCTCAAGGTTCAATTCGAGCGCCCTTCGGTTGTCCGCCGAATGTCTCATTCTTGACCGGTATTCAAGAAGGCCGCTTTGCCACGCACCGAACTTGGCCGCAGCTATAAAACGAATCGCGCGCAGAGCGGAAGGTCAGTGAGCGACAAGTATACGCGCTGCTCGCGCGTAAGCTCTCTCCTGTTTCTTCGCATATTTCTTTCTTTTTTTACCTGTTATTATTTTACCGTTAATTAAAGTGATTGCTTACAAGTTAGATTGCCTTCTTGGAATCTCTCGGGCGGAGATAGTCGTTCTACTTTGAGAAAAATATGGAGTTGGAGGTATCGCAAGATTTTAAGGAGGTCAACAGTCTGCTATTCTCGCCTCCGCGTATGAAGAAATCTGAAACAAAGGACAGCATTTCCTCCGTAGACAGCGACGTGAGTCTTTCGTTCGACAGAAGAGGTTCCAAGAGCGACGAGGCCGACTTGTCGGATTACGACAGCGAGATCAGATCCGTAAAGGCGATTGATATTGACAAGGATTCTGGCGCGGACTCTGTGGACGATGCTACGTCGAAAGGACTCGCGGAGCAAGTGGAGAAACAAGCGGACGTACCGGAAACGAATGATTTCGTGATGCCGAATGATGAATTAACCGACAAGATATGCGCACAGGTGGAATACTACTTTTCCGACGAAAATATTATCAAGGATGCCTTCTTATTGAAACACGTGAAAAGAAACAAAGAGGGCTACGTATCCCTTAAATTGATATCCAGTTTTAAAAAGGTCAAGCATCTCAGCAGGGATTGGAGGGTGGTCGGAGCGGCTTTAACGAGATCTAAGAAGCTCGAGGTCAATCAACAAGGCACTAAGCTGCGTAGAGCGAATCCTTTACCACCATTCGATCAGACAGCCCCTTCGAGGACCATTTTAGCGGTTGGATTACCGATGGAAAAATTAACGGTGGAATCTGTCGCCGAGATTTTTAAGCCTTGCGGTGAGATTGCGCTAATAAGGGTCCTCAAATCTGGACGTCCTGTACCTCCGGAGGTAAAGCGCCTTGTCTCGTTCGCAACTAGATCGCGGATAACGCGCGAGTATGCCCTGCCACGTGACATTTCTTCAATTATAGATTTAATACATGTTGTTGTATACATTATACCATATGTAATATACATATGATTAGATTTTCCCAGTTTTATAATCATAATTCATCTTTCGTCTTTGATATCGATTAAGAAACCGGGTGGGCACGAATCGAATACCGCTATAACTAGTCGTCGATAGGAAAATTCATGTAATTCCCTCAATTATTGTCGACACGATTCATCGATAATAACTGACAATGTTTATTTATTACGCTTTGTCAAATTTTCCAGGATTACATTCTATACCGTAATAACATGTAATCACGGCAACTGTGACGTAACGTACACGTTGCAATTTACATCCGATATACATATAACTCGCTAACAAGCTACAGTTGATCCGTATAAGGAGCTAAAATATTTAAGGTTTCCACTGCAGTAGATTATTCAATCGTTACGTTACCTGTTACCACATAATATTCCATCTTTACAAATTACAATATTTTTTAATAATTCTTCATACATCTCTGGAAAAGAATTCCTTGGAATTAAAATTTCCTTTTGTAATTTCTGGAGATTAAATGTTTTTAACGCCATAGATGAGTGACAAAATTCCCACGTTACAGCGCTACATATATGGTACATATACACCTAGACGTACGCGATAACGATGACAGAACGGGATATAAAATTTTGACATTTGTTACGTAGGTGCGACAGGCACTCGCGAAAAGGTCAGAATTGGCTTCCGTCGAAGAGTGTGCCATGGTCGAGTTTACGGACTCTGCTTCCGTGCGAATTGCTACGCAGATGACCTTGGGCGATGCGAAAATATTGCAATTACGTAGCTCGGCTGACAAGAAGAGGAAGCACCAGCCTACGAAGAAATGTAGCCTCAATAGAGTACCGAAAGAAGACAATCACAACTCGTCTAGCTGCCCCAGTGGATCCGAGCCAGAGGATGGCAGAGTGAGGTTTCAGAGAGGCTTTCAGGGATATCCAATGTATCACATTCAAAATACCAATTATCCCTTTCAAGGTAATATTTTGTCAAAAATCTCGTTTGCTTACTAGCTAAAGTCAATACGGACAACAACCGTTAATCTTTTTCTTCTAGCTAGTATTTATTATATCTTTCCATTGGGCCTGCACCTCCCGTTCCTGTCCAACTCTTTATATACCTTTTATTCTATTATCCTATTTTCCTCTCGTTGCCTTTGTACCTCTCTATCTCTTCCTATAATTTCCAGTATCCAGTTCTCGTTTTCTCTCTTTAAATCTTGTAAAGCTCCCATTCCCCATCCATTCCTCTTGTAATATTTTTCTCTTCCCAACTCTCTCTCTCTCTCTCTCTCTCTCTCTCATTGTTTGCTATAAATTATAAATAGTGTAGGATGTGGATAGAATTGAGAGCGTACGTGCAAGATAAGAGAATATGGCAGTCATACTGTTTAGCTTCTCAATTAACGATACCATCGATTTTGTTATAGGACCATCATCACCGGACACATATTTATCCCGGAAGCTTTCTTCTTGCTCCATATCCAGTTCCGAGAACGGTTTTATGTTTCGCCGTCTGTCTTCCTGTTCTGGTTCCGGTTCCAGTTCGGACTCTGGTAGACGTTACTCCACCTGCTCATCTGGTTCCGAAGCAGCTTTCTTTCATCCAAGTTACTCGAGTAATTTCTGCCATCACGAAAATCGCCGTTATCCTTGTTGTTCTGCTGCTGGTTAGTAATCGTATATGGTGTATACAATCACTTCTCGTCCGTCGTACATCCCTCGTGTGGATATTACCACGCTACGTGATGAATACCATACGTAAAATATCAATTACGTTTATTACAAAACGATATAATCAATTTAATTTTTTACTCACGACAGGTTCATCTCCAATGGAATGTCGGGCAAGCTGCTATATCGCAAATCGTCGCGGATCGGCCGATTGTGGCCCGTTGTCAAGGAGAATCTCGACATACAGTCGCGATATCGATACCAACGTCAGGAGAGCATCCTTATGCTCTACGAACTCGGAACAGAATGTATTCTATCGATCGAGAAGCAATAACAGCATCGCGATAATGCATGTACCTGAGAACGTGATGAGAATGCCATCAGGACCCGATGGCACGCGTGGCTTTTTTGATCGTTCCGTAAGAATAACGCCCGTGGGACCCACTCATTGAATAATATCGACCAACTCGTCAATAGTGATGGGTATCCAAGACCGACGGCGACTAATATCGACAACGATATTCGAACATGGCATTACAAAATCGAGCAGATTAAAGATCGAAACCTATCTCTCTTCGATTTGGAATTAAAATTTTACTCGGTAAAGACATACCAATTTATAGCAGTCCTCCATTACCGCTGATTAGAACCAGTGCTCTTCTTTTGTTTGCCTTTTTAGTTTTTTATTATTTATTACTTTTAAAACATTTTTTTGCATAAAATATCATAAATGCATAAAAATACTATTATAATACAGTATGAATATAATTGTAATACAAGTGTAACATGAAATTGAAAGAACAAATACATGGTGAGATTTATTTCCTGAATCAGTCTTTTACAATAATGAGATATAGATTACCGACCGAACCTGTAGTCAACTTGGTAAAAAAATGCAAAAATCTAGTTCTATTTATTGCGAAAAATATTACCTCAGAGTTTGAACCTGCACCTCCCTATAGTCTAGGCGGGCGTCTCACTAATATAGATATTATATATTGTATATAAAAGATTAACCCACCGCAAGGGATCCTCTACGGTCAGAGAGGAGGAGAGTGCGGGGGCACTCCGCCTCTCCAATCACGGCCCGTAGGGAGGGACGGAGGGTGTAGCCCACAACGTCACCGTGGGCCGCAGGGTAGGACCATGCCTGTAATGGCGAAATAACTGGATCAGATGCACTTAACAAATTATTAAAAATATCTGTATCGTACTTCCGTGACTTTTTAAGTCCCAAATTTGATTTTTGGCGATTTTCGGATTTCCAAATATGTCATCCTATAGATCTCGACGAGCGCTACAACTTTGGTCCTATGCCCTTTTGCTCCATCTCACCGATTTTTTTTATTTAGATAAAATAGTAGGGGAAAGACAAGAGGAGACGGGGAGTGACAGGGAGAGACAGGGAGACACGCGAACAGACAGGGAGAGGCAGGGAGAGAAAGGGAGAGACGCGGAGAGACAGGGAGAGACGCGGAGAGACAGGGAGAGACAGAGAGAGACGCGGAGAGATAGGGAGAGACAGGGAGAGATGCGGAGAGACAGGGAGAGACGCGGAGAGGCAGGGAGAGACAAGGTGACATGCGGAGAGACGCGGAGAGACAGGGAGAGACAGGGGCGACGCGGA